GCCTGTGTTGCCCGCTAGACGTGCTATCGTTCCACACGTTGGGAAGGTGAGGAACATTTGGCGTCTTGCTTCCTTGCGTTTGAAAGTTCTGGAAAAAAGAGGAACACGGGCAACACTGGAAGCAATGATTTGACCAAACTTTATTTACTATCATCTTGTAGATGCCTAGTAGCAGCAATGTCGGCCACCCAGAGGACGAAGTGAAGATTGAACGCGAATCCTGCGCGGTCGCTGTCGAAATGTGTGCAGATGAAAGAGAGGAAATGGAAAGTGAACACTCTCAAGACGAAGGTTATGAATATGTCGAAGAGAAGCCTCCAGAGTATGTCGCCCCTGCCGTTGAGGAAAGCACCGAAACCATCAAAAAAGAAGAAACTAACGATGAGGAGCAAATCGAGCAGTTGGAGGCGAAGATGCAAGACCTCAAGGTAATTTATTTTTGAGTCATATTTATTGAACGGCTGCTATTTTGTTTTTAGGCTACTGAAGATCTCGACGCCACGGCACAAGAAGTTGAAGGTAAGTCGGAGATGTCTATAAACTTTTTTCAGCTCTGTTCTGTGTCTGTTATGCAAGCTATCCACCTATTCTATATTTTCAAAGTTGCCATGTACGTTATTGCCCTTGTGAAAGTTTGTAAACAGCATTGGCTGCCGCTTGCTTCTTCGTGTAATGCCTTTGTGTTTGTAGAGGCACCGGAGGTCGAATGTGGCCAACATGAAAGCCCTCCTCCTTCTTCTGACGCAGAGACTGTGGAGGAAGCGATCGATGATGAACTTGGACTAAAGAGGTGAATTTTTTGCAGGTGATTTAAAATATCACGGTACCTTATTCAGTGCTTTGGACGCTTACTTAACAGTGCGTCAGCTTTCGAAGGAATCGTCGCGTTTCAAGGCTGCGATGGATGCCTCCATTCTCTCCGCGATCAAATGCGCTAGTGGCATATTCGTTGTAAGTGTTACCGAAGTTGGTGTCAGGTATCCGTTAGCTATCCCGAGATTTTGTTCGTGGAGCACGACAAATATTTTTCTTTGAATTGAAGGAACATGGCCTTATCTAGGCCCTTCAGAAATGTTTTGGGATGTTTCTCAAGTAGTGTTGTTCAAACCCCCGATTTTTGGAGAAAGGCATCAGATACGATAAAATTTTTTCGTGAAAGTTCTCTGAAATTTTTGAAAAAGTGCTAGATGAAGTGGTGCAGCGCAGTTACCCGGTTGTCCATTGCGAGTCGAATGGAAACTAGCACTCTGAGAGCCGGCTGTTGTGACTGTCCGCATGCTCGGGTGTGGGCCATGATGAACTACAGGTGTATCATATTGAACATCCACGGGTGTCAACAAGCCGTACAACAACGGTCCAAAAGCAGGGTTTAAAACCTATTGAGCTCTCAACATTTTTGTCCTGTAGCATAGCATTGTAGAGTTTATATACAATATACAGAGTTCAAATGCAGTATACAGAGTTCATATATTTTTTTATGAGCCGCTTGCTTAGAAAAACAAAACGGTGCATTTGTACTTGTAATTGAGGTACTTTAAAATATGATCTGATCAACGCGAACTGGCAAAACCAATATTCAAGCTGGCTGCATTTCCGCACGCCCTACATAGTCCATTCAACGCGCCCCGGACCCAACAAATTCCTTGTAAGATGGCTTCCGTGACCATACAAGCGACGAGTAGAATCAAAAATCCGAGGAATTTGATGTTGCGAAGCGACCGACTTTGAAGCTGCCCCTTTTGCGACCAATTGTGCCTCCTGTAACAGTTAAGATGTTCACCATTTCCGAGTAAAACGTACGCCAAGTTCTGAGTTTTGAATT